TGAGAATAATTTCACGATAAATTTATCATCACGATAAAATTTGTTCTAATTTGTCTGTATTAATAGAAATTAGAAATTACTCATTTTGAATTAGCGACATAGAGTGCGTTGAAAAGCAAACGAAATGACAGAATTTTGAGAACATATTTCCCACTGTCGGTAAAATGAATATCTTCGCGCGTTTCTACTATACCTTTGGTAGGTTACAAATTTCTTTACTACATATTAACTTATCGTTTATCGATATAAAAGATTATTTATAAAATATTTATGTAAAAAATTATGTAAAAAATATGTATAAAAAAAGAATCATCAAAATATTGTTAAGTAGTTTTTATGTCAATACTATAAAATATAATATCTAATAAATTTAAACGAATAAATTATTTCTAATACTCAATATATATTATAATTACTTGTTTATGATGCATTACGTACATTCATATTTCAATATATCGTACTGTAACGTAATACCAGAGTAATATTTAAATTCCATTTATTTAATAAAATAAAATTTTATTACGATATTTTTCTATCGCTATTCTTTAATAAAAAATATTGTTTAATCTTCTAAACAATATTCATTTTAATATTAATTACGAACAAATAGAAATGTGATAATATGACGTGATTAATGAGTTTTGAATAAACATGATGTGTCTAAATAAATCCAAATGATCTACGGTACATTCTATGCATATGCACTCTCATCTTTATTTGGACAGCATCAATATTTCGTGTTCCCTTGCGCGGAATATTCACCTATCTTTGATGCTTCTCATTCGTTCGCAGGCAAATAGGATCGAATTTCCGTATTTAATGTCCGGTGATTGATTGGATATGATGCGAATACACATGATATCCTAATGGGGCTTTCAGAATTCGGGCTGAAACTGCGGAAGAAATTGCATTTGGTCCGCAATAATGCATCGTCTTATATTACGAATGCAAAAAATATTTTGATTACGTTGTTTTTTTTTATTATAGATTATAGATTAAAAATTCCATTCTTTACTTTTATTTTAAAATAAATTTTCCAATAATTTGAATAATTAATTTTAATTAAAATTTATTGACATTTTCAAATTTTAATTAATATAATTATAATAAATATAATAATAATATATAAAGAATCTTTAAATAATGTGGGATTTAGATATCAAAATGAATGATATGATTTTTCATTTTTAAAGATCTTATATATATGTGTTATCTAATAATATGTACAAAATATTTATTTTTAATTTTTTTTTTTAAGTACATATATTTAATTTATTTTTAATATTTTATGATAATTAATAAAATAAAAAATATTTTTAATATTTTATACATATATTATTACATTATACATTTTGTAAAATATAATTTATTGATTTATAAATGACATCAATCTCAAATTTATCGAAAGAAAAAACATATGTAACTAAATTTAACTTAATTGTTGAAATCCATACATAAAAATATTTCAAGTTTACAAATTAATTTTAGAAATAAATATTTTTATTTGTTAACTAACATTCTTTTGAATTTTTCTCATTTTTTGAAATATAATCATACATATATCTATACTAGACAATAAATTCTTCAACTAATATATAATATTTATAATTAATTTCTCCAAAACCGGAACAAGTTATATCTTTCAAACAAAGATAGAAAAAAATATAAATCAAAATTGAAAGTATTCAATAAATATTCATAATTTGAATATAATTTCATATTTAATAATATGAAATAATAAAAACAATTAATTATATTTACTCATCTAGCTTTCTTTATATCTTTATCATAATAAATAAAATTAATAAAAATATTTCTCTTTAAGCAACGATAACAAATTTAACTTCTGCTCCAATTATTCCAATTAAAAGCTTGCCAAATTATTCGAGTAATAAGGGCTTATTTACATTGCAAATATCAATTCAAAAACAGCCTGTCATATAAACATTCCTCCATTCTGATATCATTCAATACATTACTCGATATCAATAATCGATTTATATTTACAAACGTTGTAATTGTTCTTCCCAAATATCCCAATCATCGAAACTAGAAACTCGAAAACCCATCCAGTTAATCAACACAAACAAAACTCTTATCCTTCAAATTCTTCCACTGCCAAAATCGAAACGAGCGCGTAGTTTGTTTTCTGGAACACGTCCACGGAAACGGAGCCGTATCTCGAGAAACAACAAGTGCGGTCAGGTGCTTTGCAGGTGCGGTAGAGGGCGGGGCGAATCCATGTTTCGTAAGGGTGGTCTGGTTGGCCGTGGAAGGTGAGAGGGTCGCGTATGAGAAAAACGCCACGCGATCCGGGTTGGATGTATCGGCAGCGACATTTTTATCAGCTTGTTCCCATGGTCCTTTATGGCGGCGGTAGCACCATGAACAACGATTACGCCGACGTTGAATCGTCTATGTGAAGGCACTTGACTGCCAGATGACCCGTCATGCTCGCGCGATAACCTAAAAGGCACCCATGGCTTCGCTCAAGCTGTCAGAACTCACCTATTTATAAATGCCATTTCGCCATATTTTTGTTTTATCGACCTGGACGATGTTTCTCGCGGCGAAATGAACGGAAAGAGATTCCGCAGGAATGATAAAAATCTATTTGGATTTCGCGAAAAAATAGGAATGACTTTATCTCGATGTGACGATATTGTTAATTTTAAATTTTATGTATAAGATATGACGTATAATATATATGCACGGTTGATTGGAATTGATCGAGTTTCATGAAAATAAAGATAAGGCCAAATGATTAATTTTATATAATTTATATTAAGAGGATGATTAATACATGCTAAAATTTATGTGGCTATGTTTTTCTAGGAATATATGTGTGTTTTTATTTTTTTAAAAATCAAAATATTAATTTTGTTGAAACTAATTGCAGGTTTTCAGTAATTGAAAAAAATGAAAACTTTGAAACCATTTTGACAGTTTCAAGTAGAAAAAGAAAATATTAAGTAAAAAAAGTTCTATTTCTTTCTTTTTTACAATAGACTAATATAGTATGATGATTTATAAAACTCATGCAACGTTGTTCTGTAGACAGTTGCAAATAATTGTTGAGGTTTAAAATTAAATGTATAACGAATTAAGACTTAAAATTATGCACTTCTGCGTATACGTACTGTGTTCAGTGAATTCAAGAAGCATCTTCAAAAAAGTTGCCACGTGATGAAAAATTTCTTGTTATTCTTCTAAGCTTCTTCTTTCAGATTATCATACAATTTAATTCTCGTTATTAAAAGCAAAGAATAAAGAGTATTAAGTTATTATTATTTCTAATTTCTTGAAATATTATGAAATTATAAAATTTATTTCCCTATTAAACAAAGTAAAGATAATTATTTCCACAAGAATTAAACAAACTTTCTTCCTTAATAATTTCGTTCTGAAAACGATGGATTAAAGAAAAATGAAACAAATTCAGAATATAATCATTCCTTTCGTTTTATTTATTGTCACCTTCCTTGTTCTCGTAACCAGATATAAACATCTGGCACATACAAAAGTACATTATAACCGTTATAACTTTTTGTGAACCAAAAGAAGAAAATTGCACACGTCCACGTGATTTTCTTGATTGCAAGATCATCGATCGTAATGGCTATACGATTCTTCTGACGGTAAACAAGTTTGCCGAATAAAACAAATCGAATTATCGAAAGGGAAAAAAAAAAAAAAAATAGAATCACGAGAAACACGAGGTCTGCGGAATACGTAGTAACTGATGTTTCCGCAAAAGCCACTTGAAGCAATTTCCGTTCAGGCCTCTTGAGCGGCGCGTTACTATTTGAGAGAGGATATCTTACCTAACTAAAAGAGAACGAAGAAAAGAAAAAAAAAAAAAGAAAAAAAAAAAAAAAAAGAAAAAAAAAAAAAAAAAGAAAAAAAAAAAAAAAAAGAAAAAAAAAAAAAAAAAAGAAAAAAAAAAAAAATAAGAAAAAATGAAACACAGCTGCCTATAGGCTTTACTATCTATCTCTAACTTAAAGCTATCGCGGTGATTAAAAGGTGCACTAATGAACTTTCTGGCTACCTGTTTGAATTGTCGCATGGTTCTCCATCCTTCGCCATTATGGAGATATTCGAAACTCGAATGTAAATTGTTTTATATATATATAGTGGCTATAAAAAATATCTATACATACATTAATTTTCAATTCTTTTTTCATCATCATATTCTACATTTTATTTTCATAATATCAAATTTTAATAGCTACATGAAAATACATTAATACTAAATGATATGAATTATAATATCTAATTACTTGCATCTAATTAATTATAATGTAATAAATGTATAATGTAATAATGGGCGAATATTTTTTGTAGCCACTGTATATAATTTTTCGTTCGTTATTTTTCGAATAAAAAAAGCGCGAAAGTATTTGTTACAAAAATAACATGCGAAACATTTTGATTTTTTTATGATTTTAAACAGTGTTTCCCAATGTTTTTTTTTTTTTTGATATCTTTTTATGCATATATGAAAATTTATAAGTGAAATATTTAAAAAATATTTAATATTAATTTTAAACAATAAATTTAAAATATTTTTTCTTCAGTATCCGTATGATAGATACATATAATAATACAATAACATAATTTATAGTGAATAGATAATCGAAAATTTTCATTATAAAATTTAAAATTTATGATCCTGATCTGAACAAAGTGAGGAGTAATAATTATTATTATCATTATTATAATTAGTACTAATTATTAATTGTAATTAATATTATCAATAAAGATCTATAAGTTCTGGGAAACACTGATCTTGGATTCATTCAGATCCAAAGCACAACGATTCGCGAAATATGTTCTCCTGGAACTTCACTCCTCCCAATTCCACAATAGAACATCTTCATCAATTTACAGCTTTGGACAAATTTGAATCCGTGCTCTTCCAAAAAATCGCTTCAACAACAAACCTCTTCGCTAAACCTTAATCAGAGATCCTTCGTTTGAAACGCGTTTCCAAAAGAACACGAGAGTTTCAACTACGAAACTACTAAAAACGATTCCATCCCCTACCACAATCGTTGCAGATTTTGGTCCATGGGCACCTGTTCCATGTAATTAACGTACTGCATCTGATAATTGGCCGGGCCCAAATAATTCGGGAAGCTGTAATCGCTACTGGTCACGTCCATCACCGGTCTTCCGTCGCTCACCATAACCTTACTGTCCGTGCTGATGTTCTTCACCTCTGGAAACGTGGCAACGTGGTTGGTTTCGTCGCCACTCACTTGGTTTCCCTTGATCTGCCTGTGGCAATCGTGCACACCTGCTCGAGGATCCAAATTATTCCTGAAATCGGACACAGCGAGGACATGCTGCCTAGCCTGAGCTTGAACCTCCCCGTTCAAACTCGATTTCCCGCCCAGTTCCGAGCTTATTTCCGTCTTGAACTGGGGGCTGATGCTCGTGTCCATCCTCATTTCGCCGTTCGACGTCCTGAATTCCGGGCTCAGGCGAATCTCGTTCATCGTTCTGTAATCCGGTTGCATCGTCGTCACGCCGAGATCCGGCCTGATGTTGGACCAGTAAGAGGGGTTGTAGGTATCTTGGGGAAGGTTTGGCTTCCCGTCCTTGATCAATACTGGCACGTGGATCTTCTTCAGAGATTGGCTCTTCATGTTTTGCGCTTGCAGACTCTCCACGCCCTCCAACCTAGCGCGTTTGTTCTTGTATCGCCGATTCTGGAACCAGATCTTCACCTGGGTGCTGGTCAGTTTCAGGGTCTGGGCGAGTAGCTCTCTCTCAGGGGCGCTTAAGTATCGTTGCTGCTTGAATCGCTGCTCCAACTCGTATACCTGATTCTGTAAGGATTTTTTAGTTTGGATTAGAAAAAAATGTGGAAAGAGAGGGGGAGGATGAAGGGAATATCGATTGTTTAAAAGATTTGGAATGTAATTTATTAAATTTTCGAGAAAGATTTTAATGTTTTAGCTGTGATAAATAATTGTGTTGTCTGGATTTAAAATGTAAATTTTAAAAGAAAGGCTTTTTGAAAATATATATGAATGCAAGATTTAGTTATTATTATTTATTAATTATTGTGGTTTTTGGTAAGTTTATATAAAAATATAATGTATATCTTGTATTCAATATAAGTAAATTGTTTAGATTGTAATACTATTAATGCCTATCAGTAATAATAGACATGGCTCATTTAAATGTCGGAATTTCGAAATTCTTGAAAAGTTTCGAATTCTTAAACTGCGAAACTTTTTAGTAATAATTTAATTGTAAATGCAATTTGAAACTAAAATAAAAAATAATTTGTATAAAAATTAAATTTTTGGTAAAGAAAAAAGATACCTGTTATCTATTATTGCTTGATTGACTTTGAAAAATTCTAAAAATAAAAATTTTAATTTTTCATAAAATAAATATTTTTTTGGAAAAGAAGAAAAAATAAACATTTTGAATTTCGATAATGTAAAACTCAAATATTTATAATATAAAAATTATAAAAATCTAATCGATTGGAGTGAAGTTTTACTGTATAAATCAATAGTTCCAAATTTCTTTATTTTAATTATTTAGCAGTACCAAATTCAAAAATTTCAATACTGTCAAATCATTTTACGTACATATAGAAATTTAAAATATTTTTCTTTCAATAATCTTTTAAAAAATGTATACCAAATGATCAGATCCTTCTTAATTAAAGAGAATTTAATATTTTTATTGAGAATATAATTTGTACTATTTTATTTAAATTATTCTATGTTCTAAGTTTTATTATTATAAAAAATTACTTGACACAAATAAATTATCTATTACATCTATCACATATGTACAAGTTATATCGAATAAATTAAATAAATATATATAATTTAGAATTTAAAATATATTAGATTAAAAAAAGTCAAGATATTTGTGATTATTCTTTTCACTCAACACGAGAAAACTCACTTGAGAAAAGAGCACCCTAGGCTTCCGTTTTGTTCTCTTGCCGGACTGACTCTTCCGTAACTCCGTTTTGCTTGACGTAACCACGTTACCTAATAAACATAGGTCGAGGAACACCTTGATCACCTCAGAGAAACAAAAGTAATTCGAAATATTTTGAAATTCACGAATTCTACGCACCATCTTCCGTAACCGGTGGATCTTGATACGGAGGAGCGATCGAATTCAACTGATGAATTCCGTGGCTCAAGTCCGGATAATGAGCGTATGTCGGCATCGAGCTTTGTTCCTTGAACTTTTCCACGTCCCAATTGTTCTCCTGCACGATTGCATTGTAACCGTAATACTCTTGCGGCACGTGTTGCTGTTGGAGCTGGTGCTGATGGTGCACGGAAGGATAGCAATCCATGATTCCTAATTGCTGATCCTCGCTAAGAATATCGCGGACACTGAAAGGGGTTCCAGAGGAAGACAACATTCTAACGCATTCTCACGAAAATGTGTATTCGCGACTTGCACGCAACTCAAGCTTCACTTTTT